TGATTTGGGGGCAACTCCATTGATAGTTGGAAGCACTTGGAGAAAGAATTTCTCAACCGCTTTTACAGCACTCGAAGAACAGTCAGCATGATTGAGCTCACCAATTCCCGCCAGTGGATGAAGGAACCTGTCATCGACTACATCAACCGTTGGAGAAATTTGAGTCTTAATTGCAATGATCGACTGTCTGAGACATCAGCTATTGAACTGTGCATCCAAGGAATGCAATGGGGACTCCGATATATCCTTCAAGTAATTCAACCTAAAAGTTTTGAAGAGTTGGCCACTCGAGCACATGATATGGAGTTGAGCATACTTGCAAATCAAATTGAAGAACCACCATTCCAAAAGCCGTACCAGCTCAATGAAGAACATATTGAAGAAGAACAAGAAGATCATGAGGATGGGGGTAAGTCTTTTGAAGAAACAACATCCTATGCAATGTGACAAGTCAAATCAAATGAAGCACTCCTTGACACGAGTTTAAAAGGTCTACATGTCCATATCAATGAAGTACTCCTTGACACGAGTTTAAAAGGTCTACATGTCCAAGTCAAATCAAATACTCCTTGACACGAGTTTAAAAGGTCTACAAGTCCAAATCAAATCAAATACTCCTTGACACGAGTTTAAAAGGTCTACATGTCCAAATCAAGTGAAGCACTCCATGACACGAGTTTAAAAGGTCTACATGTTCAAATCAAATGATACACTCCTTGACACGAGTTTAAAAGGTCTACATGTCCAAATAAAACGAAACACTCCTTGACACGAGTTTAGAAGGTCTATATGTCCAAATCAAATGAAATACTCCTTGACACGAGTTTAAAAGGTCTACATGTCAACATAAAGTGAAGCACTCCTTGACACGAGTTTAAAAGGTCTACAAGTACATATCAAATTCAAGTTCAAATGAAGTACTCCTTGATACGAGTCTAAAAGATCTATATGTCCAAATCAAATAAAGTACTCATTGACACGAGTTTAAAAGGTCTACATGTCCGTATCAAATGAAGTACTCATTGACACGAGTTTAAAAGATCTACATGTCCAAATCAAATCAAGTACTCCTTGACATGAGTTTAAAAGGTCTACAAGTCCAAATCAAGTGAAATACTCCTTGACACGAGTTTAAAAGGTCTACATGTCCAAATCAAGTGAAGCCCTCCTTGACACGAGTTTAAAATGTCTACAAGTTCAAATCAAATCAAGGCTCCTTGATACGAGCATAAACTATCTATATATCCAAATCAAATCAAGGCTCCTCGATACGAGCATAAACCATCTATATATCCAAGTTAAGTCAAGGCTCCTTGATACGAGCATAAACTATCTACATATCCAAGTGAAATCAAGGCTCCTTGATACGAGCATAAACTATCTACATATCCAAATCAAGTCAAGGCTCCTTGATACGAGCATAAACTATCTACATATCCAAATAAAGTCAAGGCTCCTTGATACGAGCATAAACTATCTATATATCTAAATCAAGTCAAGGCTCCTCGATACGAGCATAAACTATCTATATATTGAAATCAAGTCAAGGCTCCTTGATACGAGCGTAAACTATCTACAAATTCTAGTCAAATGCTCCTTCAGCACGAGCTTAAACTGCAAATGTTTCTCCTTGACCACACGAGTGTAAAATGTGCATGACATCCCTCAAAAGGATATATTTTGAACTACGTTATGACTTGATCCCTCTATAGGGTACGTAGGCAACTTAGAATCTCTCTAAGTTCAGTCATGATTTCAAAATAATTTCAAAAGATATATGTGCTTTGCTAGATCAAGCTGCAATTGAAGTTGAGTAATTATCGAGACTCATCCACTCCAAGATGTATTGTCCGTGAACAAGTCTCGAGGGGGCATTTGTAGACGCATAAAATTAATTAATTGGTTAATTAAATTAGCCAATTAAATTGTGTCTAAATTAAATTATACCTTGTCTTGCAAGACAAGTCATGGAGATAATTATTAATTAATTTTTGGCCAATAGGATTATTTCTTCTCTTCCAAGTTATAAGAGATAAATATCAATTTAAAGAGAGCCAATCAAATCGCGCCACGTCATCAAGTAGACTTTAAGTAGGACTCTTATTCTACCACTATAAATAGGGACCCTCCCTACACAATTCAAAACACAACTCAAGAAGAAGAAAAACCGTAGGAGAAAATTCTCTCTACAATATTCAAGTCGTTCTTCATCAAATTCAAGGCGTTCTTCATCAAATCGAGGGCGTTCTTCAACAAATCGAGATCGAAGGAAGATTGAAGGGTCAAATCCATCAAGAACTTCAAGATCTTCAAGTCAAAACCCGTCAAAGTTCAGCGTTTCGATCCGAGATTCAAGTCGCAAGACCCTCGGAAGACGTTATTCAAATCCAAATCAAATCCGGAGAAGATCAAGTCAACGACCCGTCTCCGAAATTCAAAGTCAAACATATATTGTTCTTGAGAGAAGAATCAGAGGATTAAATTAGAATTTGTAACCCGCAATATCTTATTTTAATTCAATAAAATTATCTTTGTGCAATTCTTTCTTGTTTGTCTAAATCGCAGGTAAGAATTTGTTGTTACAATCGCGTATTGTTTTCCTCCACGTATCATTTATGAGATTAAATTAAAAATTATGTAGCGGAGACTAGAGAGAGCACAAATAAAATATTAAGTATTAGTATAGTTTTTTTTTTGACGGGAAAATGGACTTTATTAGGCTAATGATGCCAAATTAGAAGGAAGAACATATAGCATGAGCTAGCTAACTTATTTCCTAAACGTTTGATAAAACTAAATCGTTTCTTCTGCCATTGTTATCGCTTTGAGCGCAACCATCGTTTCGCACTCCACCGGCTATAAATTACCCTGCATCTTTTCCAGTTTCCAACATAAACACTGACCTGCATCATTCCTTGCCACTGCCGCAACGGAGAATCCAGCTTGTCCACGTCGTAGGGCGGCATCAAAATTGACTTTGATTACTCCGTGTGAAGGTGGTATCCATTCGCTTGGATGCATATGTCCCATTCTGGAATTGCGGCAAAGGTGCGAGTTTCGAAACATAGCCAAGTAATCCTTGCACCAGCCCACAAGATCTTGAGGTTGCATCACCTTCTCTCCCTTAATTTCCTTATTTCGTCGTTGTTGAGTGTATATTTTCCACTCAATGTATACTTTCTTACGGGGATTTTTGTATACTTTTATTGATTTAATGGTGCTTAATGAGTGGTTTATTGCATTTTAGGTAAAACTTGACGATTTGGGAGTTCCAAGGATGAAACGAGCGAAAAAAGGTCAAAAACGGGCAAAAAACGGAAGAAAACAATTTGAAGCTGAAAATTGGCCTGGCGCGGCCGTGCCAACTGCAGAATTTGAGCAGAAAGTTTCGGCGTTTCTCGCGCGGCCGTGTGAGAATTGTACTGATTCTCGCGCGGCCATGTGAAAACACGCTGGGAGAAATTTTGGACTTTTAACACAAGGAAACCTAAATCTTCTACCACGTTGAGACATCTATTTAAGGGCAAAGACCAAGCACGAAAAAAGAAACTTTAGAACACAATCTTAGAGGAAGAAGAGCGAGAGAACGGAGAAACGAAGACGAAGACCTAACGAATCTTCATCATAATTCTTCTTTCATCTATATTTTCTAAATCTATGACTTTTATTACTTTCATTATGTTTTTCGTAGAGAACATGAATAGCTAAGTTTTTAATCTAGGATTTTGTTGGAACCCTATGTGGGGATGGTGAACCCGTTTTCTTGAGATTATGCAATTATGATTTTATGATTATTTCTTCTATTTGTTATGATTGTTAGTGCATGAACCTGATCAATTTATGTGCTTTATCTCTAATTATTGGGATTGACTCGACATATCTATTTTGATAATTAGACGTTAAGTAAAAGAACCTTCGAGTAGTTTTCACCGGATTAGTGTGTTAATTGCATGTGGTATCGTAGACATACAGATATTCACCTTAGGTAATATCTTATGATTTAATGCTTTATTCATGATTGGATTGCATAGACATATAGTAATTTTGTTTTGGATAGTAGAATTATAATACATGCGACAACAGATTATAATTAATATAATGTCTCAGGTTAATAATGAGAAATCATATATTTCATAATTGAGGGGTTTTGGGTGAGCAATTCTTGCATAGGGGGAAGATAAAATCCTAGATCCGTTTTTATTGATATATTATCGTGTTTATTGGTTTTCATAATTAGTTTAATTATTTAGTTGATTAAATTTGACAACTTTGCGTAGGCTGGATAAAATTCATAGTTGTTAGAACTTGGTACTTAGGATTAGATAATTTGAGTATTCCCTGTGGGATCGACATCCGACTCTCACGAGTCCACTTTTACTACTTGTTTGTGATCCGTGCACTTGCGTGTTAGGTATTTAGCCCAACAATCGTTCCCATATCTTCCAGATTAGAACTATTGCCAACAAAAAAATATCACCGCTCAGCTCCGTCCTCAAATTTGCCAGCCAACTCGACATAGACGACCTTTCAACTCTGAAGTCGCGGTCGAGTAAAAGGGTCTTCCAGATTTCCTCTGCACCTCAACATTCAAACAGGACATGCGTGGTAGTTTCTACGTCTTTATTGCAGCGGCAGCACATAGGAGAAGTAATAACCTTTCGTCTAAAAAGCTCAGCATTGGTAGGAATAATATTGCTAAAGAGACGCCATAAAAAAGTACAAATTTTTGGTGGGAGTGGAAGTGCCCAGACACCTTGCCACTCACGGTTCCTCTCGCCACTAAATGAGCCATCCAATTCTTTTTGCAGATTGCCTGTCGACGATATAGATGCGAGAATCATATGATAGCATGATCTCACCGTAAACTTGCCATTTTTCGAATGGTGCCAAATCCATCTCTCCTTTGCATGATGTCTCAACCCTACAGGAACCTTCAGAATTCGTTCAATGTCTACTAGCCAGAACACCCAATTGACAGTAGTCATGTCCCAGGTATTTGTCACGGCATCAATCAGGTCTGCAAGCCTATTTGGAAATGCCGAAAAAATCGGACGTTTTGTTATAATCCTGAAGTTTCCGCCCTCTCGGAGCCATGGGTCTGTCCATATTGACGTGTCAACTCCATTCCCAATTCGTCGGTTAATGCCCTGCTTTAGTATCGGAATAACTTGCCGAATACTTCTCCACGTAGCAGAGGGACGGTACCCAACTCCAGCAGAGAATAAATTTTCTTGAGAAAAGTAACAGGCAACAATAATTTTTGTTAAAAGGAGATCCGGATTAACCAATATTCTCCATGCTTGGTTCGTTAAAAGAGCAAGGTTGAAAGATCGTAAATCTCTAAACCCCAGACCGCCTCTCCTCTTTGCCTTGTACATCTCTGTCCACGAAATCCAATTCATACCCCTACTCTCTCCATTTCCCCACCAAAATCTTCGTATAGCTTT